AATGAGTGGTATAGTGTGAGAAGGGCATTTTGCGGCATGTAGTATCGTATCTTGGAGAGGATCCCAACTGTTTTGGATACTTTTTTGGTTATGTGTTGGATATGGGTGCTGAAATTCAGGTTGTTGTCAAGGTATAGGCCTAGAAATTTGCCCTCATTATGTCTGGTAATTAGAGTATTGTCGATCTTAATGTTAATTTGTGCATCTCCTGCTCTGCTACCAAACATAATATAGTAGGTTTTGTCAGTGTTAAGCGTAAGTTTATTGGCTGTCATCCAAGTCGATATTTTGATCAGCTCCTCGTTAACAATGGTGTTGAGGGTGGCAAGATTAGGGTGAGAGATGACATAAGTCGTGTCGTCAGCAAAGAGAATGGGTTTCAGGTGTTGGGATACGTTTGGAAGATCATTGATGTATATGAGGAAGAGCAGGGGACCAAGGACACTTCCCTGCGGAACTCCAATATCAAGTGGCCGTGTTGTTGATGCTGTGTCTTTAATGGTAACATACTGATACCTATTAGTAAGGTAAGATTTGAAATAAGCAAGCGCATGGCCTCTTATACCGTAATGGTCAAGTTTGTGGAGTAGTATGTCATGGTCTACTGTGTTAAAAGCTTTTCTTAGGTCAATAAAAATTCCTAAACACGAGGAAATTAAATCTTCATCAGAGTACAAAACAAATTCTGGCCACAAAATAGAGCGAAACACCAACGTCAAAGACCTGGGAGTGATCATGTCGGAGGATCTCACCTTCAAGGACCATAACATTGTATCAATCGCATCTGCTAGAAAAATGACAGGATGGATAATGAGAACCTTCAGAACTAGGGAGGCCAAGCCCATGATGACACTCTTCAGGTCACTTGTTCTATCTAGGCTGGAATATTGCTGCACACTAACAGCACCTTTCAAGGCAGGTGAAATTGCTGACCTAGAAAATGTACAGAGAACCTTCACGGCGCGCATAACGGAGATAAAACACCTCAATTACTGGGAGCGCTTGAGGTTCCTGAACCTGTATTCCCTGGAACGCAGGCGGGAGAGATACATGATTATATACACCTGGAAAATCCTAGAGGGACTAGTACCGAACTTGCACACGAAAATCACTCACTACGAAAGCAAAAGACTTGGCAGACGATGCAACATCCCCCCAATGAAAAGCAGGGGTGTTCACTAGCACGTTAACCTTTGACTGTCGAAGGCCCAATCCTGAAGTGTCCCCTGGTGTCGAAAAATAGGGGAAAAAAAAAAAATTATTTTTTCTTATAAAAAATGTTAAGATTTTTTTTTGTTTGTTTTGCCCCCAAAAAATTTTTTCCCATCAGTACTACCGAGATATGAGGCATAAAGTTTCAGAAAATGAGCCCGTATGGCAACGCGGCGGCTGCCGTCCCCTGGAAAAACTTTTTTTTTACTTGTTTTTAAGGTTTTTTGTTTTTTTCACTATTTTATTTTTCACTAATTTATGTGGCCTGTGAGCCCAAAGTAAGGTGCAATTAATATATACACTCGTTTATAAAACACAATAAGCACACAAACTAATTTAATATATTGTTTACAAAATTTTGTTTACAAAAAAAACAACAAAAAAAATTGTTTTTTACTATTGTTCTAAAATATATATACCAATATAAGTATGAACAACCCTAGAAGTTTTGAGCTTGTGGAATTGTAAAAACATGGTGTCATAAAACGTGGTGTTTTACACTCTTACACATAAAACATGGTGTAAAAAACCCAGTGGTGTTTTACACTCTCACAATAAAAACATGGTGTCATACAAGTGGGTTTTTAACTCTCACCAAAAAAACATGGTGTATACATGGGGTGTTTTACCTTCAACAAAAAAACTGGTTTTATACACAGTGGTGTTTTACACTCTACACTAAAATCGTGTGTTGCATTTTTGTTGAATTTTTTTTTATGTGCAAGAAAAACACCTCTCTGAGCGTTTTTTAAAAATATTAGCAGGCAGTTGTGTTATGTAGTTATCCTGGTTTTAAATGGTGTGTTTTATCATTCCTTCCTAAATTTCCCCTTTATTCCTTCCTACCTGGAGGCTACCTGGAGGGCATTCCACCTTTTCCTACATTCCTTAAACTGTCCCTTTATTTCTTTTTTTCCCTTTATCAAACCCTTTTTCATTTTTGCCTTCCCTTCTTGCTTTGTTTCTATAATAATTACACAATATGCACTAATACTTTCAAAAACTTATTTCCCCTTCAGCAAGCTTTCTTTGTGCGAGTGTGTTTTTATAATTTTTGAGTCGGAGTCGGCAGTGTCAAAATGACATATTTTCTCATTACTCACTCCCCCCCGCCCAAAAAAGGGGGGTGCTCCCCCCCATTCTATTAATTTCTTTTTTCCCTTTTTTCTCTTTCAACTGTCTTCTTTTCTTCTCTGTCTATTTGTCTCAAGGCAAAAAACAAAAAATAGGGAAATTACCCAAAACCCAAAAAAAAAAAGGTTTTCCCCGGGTGGGGAAAAGTGATGATGGACCAGTCTTGTGGCTTCCCCTAAAAAAGGGAAAGGGGAAAGGGGTTGGGCGAAATAAAAAGACAAATTTTTTTGGGGGGGAAATTTTTAAAAAAAAAAAAAAACCCCCCCCCCCCCCCCCCCCCTTTTTTTTTTTTCCCCCCCCCCCCCCCCCCCCCCCCCCTTTTTTTTTTTTTCCCCCCCCCCCCCCCCTTTTTTTTTTTTTTTTTTTTTTTCCCCCCCCCCCCCCCCCCCCCCCCCCCCCCCCCCCCCTTTTTTTTTCCCCCCCCCCCCCCCCCCCCCCCCCCCCCCCCCCCCCCCCCCCCTTTTTTCCCCCCCCCCCCCCCCCCCCCCCCCTTTTTTCCCCCCCCCCCCCATCCCCCCCGCCGCAGGGAAAGTGCCCCCTTAAGGGCATAAAGGTAAGTTTATGTGTTTTCCCCTTTTTGGGAAAAATTTGGGGTGAACGGGGGCCCAAGGGCTTTTAAATTTTATTTGGTATTGGTTTTTTTTTTTTTTTTTTTTTTTTTTTTTTTTTTTTTCCCCCCCCCCCCCTTTTTCCCCCCCCCCCCCCCCCCCTTTTTTTCCCCCCCCCCCCCTCCCCCCTTTCCCTCCTCCCCCCCCCCCTCCCCTTTCCCTCCTCCCCTTTTCCTTCCTCCCCTTCTCCTCCTCCCCTCCTCCCTCCTTCCTTCCTTTTCCCCCTTTCCCTTCCCCCTCTCTTCCTCCTCCCTCTTTTCTCCTCCCTCCTTCCCCCCCCTTTTCCTCCTCCTCCCCTCCCCCCCTTTCCCCTTTTCCCTCTTTTTTTCCCCTCCTCTCCCCCCCCCCCCTTTTTTTCCCCTCCTCCCTTCTCCTCCTCCTCTTCTCCTCCTCCCCCCTCCTCCTCCACCTCCTCCTTGCTTTTGGTCAAACCCCTCAAAATCATAAAATTGTTTCATTGCCCCTTCCATTTTTTTTGGGGGGGAAAAGAGAAGAGCCCGATTTGGGGGAAGCCATATTTCTTACCCCTAGACATGCTGAAAAAAGGACGATGAAAAGGCATTTTCCCCCAATGCACCCCCTGGGTCCCCTTTTTTTTTTATGGTGCACACTGCCTGGAGACCCCATTCTTCACATGTGGGCCCACCAGCTTTTCCTGCTTGATTTGAAGCCGAAAAATTTATGCGTAAGATACGTCAAAAACCCGGGATCTCTATGACGTCATATACGACCGCGACATCAAAGGGTTAAGAGACCATACAATAAGTGTCAGGGGCCCAAGACTGTTCAACTGCCTCCCAGCATACATAAGGGGGATTACCAACAGACCCCTGGCAGTCTTCAAGCTGGCACTGGACAAGCACCTAAAGTCGGTTCCTGACCAGCCGGGCTGTGGCTCGTACGTTGGTTTGCGTGCAGCCAGCAGCAACAGCCTGGTTGATCAGGCTCTGATCCACCAGGAGGCCTGGTCACAGACCGGGCCGCGGGGGCGTTGACCCCCGGAACTCTCTCCAGGTAAACTCCAGGTAATTTCCTCATATACCATAGTGAAAAAGGTTAGTAAATATGTAATGCAAGAACACCTCTTTGAAAAATTTTGCTGAGACTTATTAAACAAATTACAGTTAACCTTCAGTTAAGACACGATCCATTAGGGCATTTTCGTTATGTGATGGTTGACACAAGAGTGTTACAGGAAGATCTGGATTGATTCATTGGTTGAAGATGTGGGTGCATTGGATTAATTAGTGTGAGTGGGTGGCCAGTAATGGCAATATTGGTGGCTAGAGAAAAGATTGTTTTGCCTTGATTATAACAATAATGAAAAATTCTACGACCTAAGGACTTTGTCCATTGTTTCCAAATCTACTGACTCGGTGGATTTTGTTCACTATTTCCAAAGTCCATTAAATGGTGGTCCATTATATGGATGATTTACTTTACTTATTGTAATTTAATGTCTCATTTCTACTTGCTCAGCAAATGTCCTTGGATGTGGGAGTTCACTTTTAATTGCTTATTGCTCATATGAGATTTGAAAATAACTGTTGCTTTTCATTGATCGTCAAAAAATGTTTTATACTAGATAATATAAAAATTTTATTACAATGAAGATACATTGGTTGGCAGATGTTTTGCATTGATGATGATTAATATTAAAAAATTCGTAGATATGCAATACATTTTTTTACAAATTAAGCATAACTTAAACATAACTTAAAATGACATAACATTGATCATCTCAAGGTTGATTATATGAATGCTGAGGTTGAAATAAATTATGTGTCTGGGGATGATATTACTAATACAATGATTTCTCAATTTAATGATACCTTTAGACAATTACTTAAAAAGCTTTAACCTTTTTACTCTTCGCTTATGATAACAGTTTCCACTTGTCACACAGGGTGGATCTCAATACCAGCCAGTGGCTCTTATTTCCACTTAAGATGATAACAGCTTTCACTTGTTACACAGGGTGGGTCTGAATACTGGCCAGTAACTTGTTTTCACTGAAGATTATAGCAGCTTTCACTTGTCACACAGGGTGGGTCTGAATACCAGCCAGTGACTCTTGGACAGGCAGCACTGATGGCCATGGAACCACACGATATTATAATATGCAAGTGGCCTAAACCTCTGAAGTATCAGTTCTTTAAGAACATCATGCCAGACATGCCTATTACACACTGTGTCCATTGTAACAAGGTAAGACCTTAATATCTTCAGTATAACTAGTGAGTTAATGTAAGTGTTGTAGTGGAGCTACCACAGTGAGTGCAGCTACCATGGTAGTGCAGGATACAGTGAGTGCAGTTACCATGGTGAGTGCAGGTACAACAGTGAGTGCATGTACCACAGTAAGTAAACATTATTTAGACAAGGGTAAGGAGGTTTTTGTTCCATTTATGGATCTGGAAAAGGTATATAATAGGGTGGACATGGGAGCAATATGGCAAATGTTGCAAGTGTGTGGAATATGTGGTAGCTTACTGAAAGCAGTTAAGTTTTTATGAGGATAGTGAGGCTCAGGTTAGAGTATGTAAGAGAGAGAGAGGGAGATTATTTCCCAATAAAAGTAGGCCTTAGACAGGGATGTGTGATGTCCCCATGGCTGGGTTCTTAGGGAAGTGAATGCTCTGGTATTGTCAAGAGGTGTGGGATTAAAATATAAATAATATAACACCAAGTGTGAATTGTCACAGTTGCTTTTTGCTGATGACACTGCTTTTGGGAGATTCTGAAGAGAAGTTCAAAAGGTAGGTAGATGAATTTGGAAGGGTATATAACAAAACAAAATTAAAAGTGAACATAAGAAAGAGCAAGGTGATGAGGGTAACAAAAAATTTAGGTAATGTAAGATTGGATATTTGGTTAGAGGGAGGGAGTATGAAGTGAATGTATTCAGATAGTATTTGGAAGTAGACTTGTCAGCAGATGGTTTTGTAAAAGATGAGAGCCAAAGAATTGGCAAAGGGAAAAAGGTGAGTGTTTCATTGAGGCATCTGTGGAGCTGAGAGTATAGTGGTGCCAGTACCCCTTATATAGGAGTGAAGTATGGGTTGTGAATGTTGCAGCAAGGAGGTGGATGGAGACTGGAAATGTCGTATCTGAGGGCAATGCACAAATAACCCACACATAGGAGAGAGGAGCTTATGATGACATTTCAGTCTAACTTGGATTTTGTAAATGGTCCAAGTCGAACCAAAATGTCGTCGTATGCTCCTCTCTCCTATGTGCGGGTTATTTGTGTATTGTTCCAGTTATGGTATTGTACCTTTTTGTTCTTTCTGAGGGCAGTGTATGGTATGAATATTATGGTGAGAATCAGAGGGCTAAGGAAGGGTTGCTGAGATGGTTCAGATATTTAAAGAGGGTGGAGCAAAATAGGATGACTTGGAGGGCATATAAATCTGTAATATAGGGAAGACAGGGTAAAGGTAATTCTGGGAAAGGTTGGAGGGAGGGGGTAAAGGAGGTTTTGTGCCTGAGGGGCTTAGACATTCAGCAAGTGTGTGTGAGCTTGTAAGATAGGAGTGAATGGAGGCAAGTGGTGTTTATGACTTGATGTGCTATTGGAGTGTGAGCAAGGTAAGATTTTTGAAGGGATTCAGGGGAACTGGTTAGCTGGGCTTGAGTCCTGGAGGTGAGAAGTACAGTGCTGCACTCTGAAGGAGGTGGGGAAATATGTTGCGGTTTTTGAATTAGTATCAGTGCACTCTGGCAAGACAGTGATAGAGTGAGTGATGGTGAAAGTGTTTCTTGTTTTTTGGGTAACCCTGACTCAGTGAGAAAATGCCAGTGTGTTTAAAAACAAGAATCATGTCAACATTTTCTAATTATTATTTGCATACTCTATCTTACAGTAAGCATTTTGCTTCACACTTCTAGGGGCACATCTGCCCTGCCTTGAGGCTATACTCTTAAATTCTTTGCATTGTATCTTGTACAGGTTGACCATCACTAATCCATCATTATCGGGACCTGTAGGGTGCCAGATTAGTGATTTTGCCGGATTACAAAGTGGTTAGGTTAGAATACACTAAACACAACTGCGATATTTACACATCAGTGATTTCACCCAATTTAGACCCTATTTTTGGCCTATTCCATTGATCCGGTCTACTAAACTCATAGGTATTTTGCTAGTATTCCTTCTATTCTGTCGATTGAGTACAAGAAACTGCCTATTTACCTATTTCAACTACCCAATAAAGTGGTCAGGAATCAGTAGTTTGGCCAATTTCACACAAATTTTAAGAGATGCCAATTTCAAAATAGGGTCCAGAATAAACAGTGCAGACATTCTTGGTACTAAAATAACATTTTCTCTGTTCATTAGTCACATCTCCAGCTTCTTTTATTATATTTGTATTCCATTTTGAATTTTTATTCTCACAAAAAAATAGATTTACTTTTATGCAGACTACTACGTTATTGTAATAATTGCATAAATAATGTCAACCCATTCATGTCTGCATATTAAACCTGCCAATTGGACGCATATTGGATGGTGGTATCATTTGTTTACCTTGAACATTGTCAAAAATCGAACATTTCCACCACTTTGAGCTCAATTTTAAGGTACTTTCCAGCATGAAACCAATCAAAATAATATCTGTTTCTGTAATACATTTTCCATTCTATCAAATGAGACCAAAAAAAAATGAGAATGCAACCATATGAAAATACTCCACAAAAGTCATTGCTTTACATCTAAAGCATGGTCGCCGTTTTTTTCTCATTATGCACTGCGTGCTGCAGGATTGTTTTTATATACATAGTGCACACTTACCACACAGACCTATTCTCTCATATGCAGGCCCAATTTTACCAGTCACAGCTTATCTGAGTGAGCTGAGCGCATGGCGACTGACAGTGGCTTTAGAGTCACCTTATATTTTGTGGACAGTGTACGGTGTATGTGCTTTACACAGCAAGAAGCATTTCTTTTATTCATTGGAACCATGGCTAGGGCTAATAGTGAGCAGGTTATAACAATAAATGGATAAAAAGAAATTGGAATGACTTGTGCAGCAAGTAGCACCATCAAACAGTACTGGCTGGTATGTGAGGGAACCCTGCAAATTTGAAATTATGCTAGCTGAAATTAGTGCTGGATTACTGATTTAACCAGATTATTGATTGCCAGATTAGTGATGGCCAACCTGTACTAAATGAACTGTTTCTTTTTCAGATGTTCCACACAGATGATTATACCCTTCAAGTGCTCCAGAAAGGTCACTGCCCATTCTGCCGAACACCCATTGGAGATCATTCAGACAACAACATTGATTAATGTGAAATTTTTTTTTATTTTGTTTAACCCTTTAAACTGTCCAAATGTAGATCTGCGTTCTCTCGCCCAGGGCTCCAAATATTTTCAAAAATATTATTAGTTTTTTTTTTAATTAAAGAGGCAATTTTCTGTGTGTAATAAGATGAAAAAAATTGTTTAGGGTCGGTACTTACCGAGATATGAGGCCACAGAGTTGGCACTGGATGTTCACCTGATGGTAACATGCAATCCTGCCGCTTGCAGAACTGTTGCCAATATACCTTTTTTTCTCATTTTTTTTTTTTTAATTTATGTAATATTTATACCTGCACAAAACTATACTGCCTTACACCATATTGTAGCATTCTCATACTGTAAACTTTCACCAACGCTCAATATTATATTCCAATAATATAACTTAAATATTTACTATTGATATACACAACCTACAGAATACTTTCAAATTGTCCCAATGTAATATCCCCAGATTGTAACTTAAGTTAACTTACTATCTGCTTTAAATGAAAACAGATGTACAATGTAAACAAACTGTGATCAATTTCTCTAGTATTAAGTAGTCTGTAAGCCATTAATTTAGTCTGGCCACAATGCCATAAAATGATAGTGGCTCTCTTTGCACTGCAACTCATTATTGTAATTACAGAATCTCAATGTAACCTTGCAAAGAAATAAAAATTGTATTGTATTGTATAAAGTCAATCAGCCACCTAGCCGGCCACCCAGCCGGCCACCCAGCCAGCCACCCAGCCGGCCACACAGCCAGCCAACCTGCCAAACACATATTACATGTGCTCCAGAATTGTTTCTCTGTACTTAGGGCATAGGTTATAGGACTTTCTGGCCAGGTGACACTACCAGTGGTATCAAAATTGAAAGGATGTTGCACATGGGTTATTATCGAGGTTTTTAATATTTCCTCAACCACTTGTGGCCATATCCATCTCAAAGCCACTAAACTCAGGGTCAGTATCACTTTCCTCTTAAAACTGGAGTGTTAATACGACATGACATCAGGGAATCCCTGGTGTTTGTCATGCTGTTTGCTCTAGCAGGCACTCAATTGAACTAGTGCTCCCACAAAGTACTAAGTGGTCCCAGACTTTTTGTATACTGCACACACTGAGTGTTAACTCTTTGAGGGTCTGTCCCATAGTTCTATGACTCTGAAGCCTGGGTCCAAGCCATAAAACTACGGTTGAGCTCAGCTCACTCAGATAATGCTGTGAGCAGTAAATTTGGGCCTAGATATGAGAGAATACATTTGTGTGGTAAGTGTGCACCACATAAAACAAATACTGCAGCACTCAATCAATGGTGGCTGGTCAAAAAATAGAATCGGGGGACTACATGATTGCAAGTCTCATAGAACAGCGTAATAAGGGTTATTATAGTAATAATTTTTAAAATTAACTAAATTTTATAATGATAAGTGATTGCTTATACGTACCCGTAGAGGTCGTCACAGTCCTGCTGGTGGAAACGTGGCTGGCTGAGGTGATGATGTTACAACTATTTGAAAATAAAATCCAAGCATCGATTTTTTGATGGTTTACAACTTTTTCATTAAAAGCTTTTCATTCCTTTTTTTGCTATGAAAATACTGCATGCTGAATCAGTTTGAGCTGCAGTATTCACTTTACCCAGCATTGACAAATCAATAATGTTATTTATATGCTTGGTTGATGGCTCATGTTTCATTAATCCCTTCAGGGTCCAAGGCCAAAATCTGAAGTGGTGCTCCAGTGTCCAAGAAATTTTGAAAAAAAAAAAAAAAAATTTCTTACAGAATTAAAGAGCATATTTTTGTGAAGGTAATAAGACAAAAAAAAAAATTTCTGATCAGTACTTACCAAGATACAGTGCCGAGAAGTTTGTCCAAAATGACGTGGTGGCGGCAACATCGATGAATTCCACATACGCGCATTACTTTATTTAGCAGTTTTTGTAGTTTTTTCTTTTCTTTTCAAATTTTTTTCTTTTCCTACTAACATTTGGGGCCTGAGAGACCAATACTGTATATAAACTCACTGTATTGAACACAATACCCTCACTAAAGTTATTATCATATTGTTTGCCACTGTTGTTTATTACAATAAACATGCACAAATCTTGTATAATACTAATGTTCTATCTTATATTTACATATTTACAATCACTGGACATGGTTTTAGAACTGCTGGAGCTTGTGGAACTCCTAGAAACAAGGCACCATGCACAGAGGTACCTTACATTCCTCACACATAAACCGAGTGTCTTTGCGTCTTTGTTGCCATCGTTTTGTTTATGCACAGACGATGCATCTCTTCTGAGCAAATTTCTTCTGAGTTGAAGGAAGCTGTATTATGAAATGATCACCTTCCCTCCTCAAACGCTTGGGTATATCCTGAGGAATTCGAGGACCTTATTGTATAGCAGGTGTTCTTACCTGGTACTTCATTATGAGTTGTCTGACAACAGACAAACAAAATTCACCATACGGTGGTCTGTTGCCAGTCTTCATTTGGTACATATTATATGCATTGAGCATTGAAATGTCCATCAGATGGAAGAAAAGTTTCATGTACCACTTGTAACTTTTACGAACACAATCAACAAAACCAATCTGCATGTCACATTTGTCAACCAAGCGCATGTTTTGTGTATAACCAATCACTGTCACTGGTTTTCGAATACGTTCATTAGTCACTCGATCAACTTTGCCACTGTCTTGCATTTCATTACGGTGAATGGTTGTCAACAATGTGACATCTCGTTTGTCATGCCACCATAATGCCATGATGTCATTGGCAGTAAACACCTGCACGTCATTACCACGAGCACCTGCGTTGAGCCTGGGCATATGTTTATGATTGGAACACACTGTGCCACGAACATCTGTCTTGTTCACTCGCAAGAAATCACTGAGTAATGGGCTTGTGTACCAGTTATCGGTATATAATGTATGCCCCTTACCAAGATAAGGTGCCATCATGCTTCTCACTTCGTCACCTGAGATACCCAATAACATCTTGGTATCTTTCAATGTTTTACTTCCCGTGTATACAACAATATCCAATACCAGGCCACTGTCACAGTCACAAAGTACAAACAGTTTTATACCAAAGCGTTTCCTCTTGCTCGGTATGTACTGCTTGAATGACAGCCTACCTTTGAACAAAATCAAAGACTCGTCAATTACAAGATTCTTGAATGGATAAAAGTATATGCTGAACTTTTGTTTGAAATACATAAAAACATTTCTAATCTTGTATAACCTGTCACTTCTGTCAGGCCTGGTTTTGTCAGAGAAGTGCAACATACGTAACGGTAAGATGATGATTTCACTGAAGACTGGGGTAGAAATTAGCCGATCTGTGGACCAGTATGCGTTTATATTATGCTTATAGACATGAGGCATAAGCATTATTGTTGCAAAAAGCAAATACATTTCTGCAACAGTCGTCTCTTTCCACCGGTGTAGTCTCGACTGTGGTGATATGATCGTATTTGCCATGGTGTACTCAAAATACTTATTACTTTCCCTGACAATAGTTTCCATCAATGGCTGGTCAAAGAATAATTCAAAGAATTCCAGTTCATTGGCCGTTGTTCCAAGGGGACAAGTAGGTAGAATTCTACTTTGAGAGTCATCAAAGTGGTGGGGCTTGGGAACAAAATTGGGATTTTGCTGCCAATCCCAGATACGGTTTGCTGGTGGATACTGGACATCATAGGCTGGTTGTGCGGGTGGTTGTGGTGGGCTGGTGGCTGACGCTCCACTTTGTCCTTGAACTGAGGAGTCAGCAGCGTGGGTCCCAGCCTGGGCTAGTGAGTCACGCATGGCAGTGCCACTACCATCACCACTACCACCATCTGCTGATGCCAGTGGTCTATCCATGCCAAGTGTAGCCACATCATCCTCACTATCACTATCTAAACCTGGTGTAGGACCACGGGATGTACTCCGGGATGTACTCCGTCTCCTGGGCACAGCATAGGGTACACTACCCGAGCGCATGTGGCGGCATACATACCAACACTTCACTGGTGAATATGATTCCTCACTATCACTACTCGAATGATCGTCAAGAGCAATAAAATCACAATCCACGTCACTATCATCATCATTACTGAAGTCAGAGGCCTGGTCATGCGAAAATAATAGCTTTCTCTTGCGTTGAGGTACAACTGACCATGACTGAGGAGTGCCCACACCAGAGGTAGAAGGTTGAGGATTGTCAGGGTTTTCTGCACTATTATCGATATCCTGGTCATTCCTTTCGGTCACTAACTGATCAAAGCCAAAGAATTTGTCTTCATTTCCACTTCCATCAGTGTCAGAACTATCAGATAGGAAGAGGAGAGTCCCAATTTTCCGGGGAGTGAGAGCTGCCTTGCGACGAGGCATGGTGAACAAGGGTAACTGAGCCGGCGTTCCCACAATGCTATGCGGGCGCCTAGATTTTTTGTTTATGGCACACACCCACCACGCAGACCCGTTCTCTCACATGTAGGCCTATGAGCGCTTTTGCGCTAAATTTGACGGCGCTAGAATTTTGGCGTAGATCTACGGTTTGGACACTCAACGTGAAGCCATAGATCTACGGGACGGACCCTGAAAGGGTTAATTTTTGTGGTAAATGCCTCAAGTCAGTCATGCCACGTTTTGTCTCCACCAAATAGTAAGCATGGAAAACAGAATAAAGCATTCTGTTCGTCACAGCCACAAAGCCATTCACTTTTCTGGTAAACACTGATGCTAAACTGGTGTATATATTCTTTGCTCCAGCTCGTACTTTTTTGTAGAATGGATAAAACTGGTGTATGTCATCCTTCTTCTTTTATCATTACTTTTTCACTTAAAATCAACTTTGAAAAGTTAATACTTTGTAAATATTTAACTGAGTTTACTCTAGTTTCCACTGCCATTGTTTATCAAATAGTAATTAAATTTAATGCTGTTGAAAAGAATTTAAATGGCCACCAACACCAATACTGGGCACGCGCTACAATGAGCATATTTACAATGTCAACAGATTGATTACAACTGGGTGTGTGCTGCATCGAATGCAGCTCCTCCCTGCCAGATGTAACGCCAGTAATACCTATACTATCGTACCACATCAAACTTCTATTTTTAATCATTTTTTATATCATTTCAACAAAAAAAAAATAAAAATTCACTTATAAATGCATTGAAATCAATATACAACAGATTTTTCCTGTAATTTATTTGTCAGTTGCAAAAACCAAATAAATACTGAATAACTGAACCTTATAAATTGTATATCTTAAATGTTTCTCACGATTATATCACATAAATGTTAAACCTAAAACCCAATCTAACTTTATTATTTTTTAAATACACTACCTAACAGAATACTCCATTCTACTGAATTTACAACAATGCATGCAACCATATGACCTGTCTTTGTAATACTCACTTGTGCTTTATAGTAATCTGTTTACATTAATGTTTTTCACTGATTTCATCATTGCTTAGTTAATCTTAAGTTAATTTTAAGCCAGCCCGTAATGCTATGCATAGTATAAGTGGCTTTGGCATGCTGCTCTTATCTGTATTTTTTTGTACCTCTGTATGTGTGCTCAAATTATAAATAAATAAATAAATAAATAAATAAATAAATAAATGAAGTCATACATCTGGCAGTGAGCATCTGGGGGACTGCAGCTCTGCAGCTCCTATGGATAAGCTGCTACTGCACGCAGTGCATAATGAGAAAAAAAACTGTGACAGTAATTTTGGATTAAAACAACGACTTTTCGGTGTTTTTCCCCATGTTTTTTACAGTTGTACTTGCGATTTCTTGGTCTCACTTGATAGAATAGAAGATATATTATAGAAATAGAGATTATTTTCATTGGTTTTAGTACTTAAAATGCCTTGAAATTTAGCTCAAATTAGTGGAAATATTAAATTTTTGCCAATGTTCAAGAGTAAACATATGATGTCATGCATCTAATAAACGTCAGCTGGTGGGTCTAATATACATTCATAAATGTGCTGATATTATTTATACAATTATTACAATATTGCATAACAGTAAATCTTCTATTGTTTGCTGTGAATAAAAATTCATTATGTGAATAAAAAATCAAAACAGAATTCATTTGTAAAGCTGTTGGGCCGTGCGGACGTGCTGCGCAGTAGCTCCTGATTGAGTTGGCTTTTGCGCAGTGTTGACGTGTACTTGGCTCTGTGAAGACCTGTTTGCGCGCTCTCTAGAACTGAAGCAAGATGCCCTCCATCGAGCAACTTTACCAACAGCTTAAGGAAGAATTGAGGATGGCGAATATGGAAATTCGGCGACTGACCGAGGAAAACAAAAAGATTCGTAGTAGTCCTCCTGTTTTGAGTCCTCAGGTCAAGAAGGGAAACTGGTCAGTGGCTGGACAGCAGGGAGAGAAGTTGACGATCAGAAGACGAATGGAAAGGTAGAAACGATGAAGAAGAAAGAGACTGCCGTGGAAACTGTTGTGGAAACATCTGATACATTCTCAGTGCTACCCGACGAATGTGAGTCGACTACTGGGAACGTCACGACGAACGACACCAAGGAAGGTACGAATATTGTTGTTGTTGGGGATAGCCAAATAAGGTATATGGATAGGGCGTTCTGCTTGAAGGACAGGAGTAGGAGACAGAGAGTTTGCTTTCCTGGGGCTGGGATGGAGGATATTGTTAGCCGTCTGGATGACATCATGAGAGGTAATGGGAGTAATCCTATTATCTGTCTCAGTGCTGGAGGCAACGATGTTGGCAGACGTAGGAGTGAAGACCTGATTAGCAGGTATAGGTCAGCAATAGAAATAATTAGGAGTAAGGGTGGGAACCCTCTCATATGTGGTATTTTGCCAAGGAAGGGAGTTGGAAATGAATGGTTGTCCAGGGCAATTGGTGTCAATTGCTGGCTGGACAAATACTGTAAGGAAAATGCGGTAACATTCATTGACAGCTGGGACCTCTTCTATGGCAGAAATGACATGTATGCCAGGGATGGGGCTCACTTATCTAGGTGTGGGGTGGGAGCACTGGCAACTGCAGTGGAGGGAGCAGTTAGGACTTTAAACTAGGAGTAGTTAGTGGTATGGGTTTTGGCAGGAAAACAGTGAAGTCCCAGTGTAGTAATATTACGAGTTCTGGGGGAACTAGTAATAATAAGAACGAGGTAGATATTGAAAAGCCAGGGACCTTGGGTGATAAGGACAGTAATAAGTTTAGTAGAAAAATAGAAATGAGCAGGAAGGGTAAAGAGAAAGGAGAGTCTTTCAATGTTTGTTATGCTAATTGCCGTAGTGCTAGGAATAAGATGGACGAGTTGAGATTAGTTGCTAGTGCAGGTAACATTGATGTATTTGCCTTAACTGAGACGTGATTTAATTCAAAAAGTCGGGACATGCCTGCGGAATGTCATATTCAGGGTTTTAAATTGTTCCAAGAAGATAGAAGTATTGGGAAGGGGGGTGTGGGGTGGCATTGTATGTCCGAGATCGCTTGAACTGTTGCATAAAAACGGGTATTAAGTCTGAAGTAAC